AGAAATTCGACAAATGAACACAAAATTATTACAGAGATGACAGTGAAAAAACGACAACAACAACAAAAAGGAAAAAAAAAATGATTATGTACTTATATCCTTAACGTTCTTGTGTAGAGATCTCTCTTTTATTTGGAGGTTGCCAAAGAAGGCTTTATTTATTATATATCTTGAGTGAACAAATGACAACAACAGCACCAACAAACACCAAAAAATAATGATTATATATTTATATGCTTAACGTTCTTGTGTAGAGATCTCTCTTTTATTTGGAGGTTGCCAAATAACGCTTTATTTATGATGTATCTTGTGTAAACGTCGATCTGTGGTATCCAAAGTTTCGCAAACCAGGCCTAGCACAGCACAAATTTAAATGGAGAACCATAAATCTGTGATGTCTCTCTGATTTTCTTGAATGAATATCGTTATTTACAAATTATATTCAGACTTATATCCCTCTCTTTGTTGTTACTTTCACATTTCGGCGGTTGAACTCTGCGCCTTTCTTCAAGAATCTGTCGATCCTGATATAACCACGGAACAATGGCCAACATAATCAACACCTTAGGGAATTTTAGTCACATGTTAGTTGTGACTTTAGTCATTATCCATTACATCATTTGCACATCAAAGCTTACAATACGCAGTATTCCCAAGCGGTCACCCATCTAGGTACTAACCAGACACGGTGTTTCTTAACTTCAGTGATGTGTCCGTAAGCCTCAATAACAACTTTATTGTCTATATAAATTACTACCAACTATATTATTAATTATATTATTGACATTCGGACTATTGTCTTCATTTGGTTATCATTATCATAACGTTTCGACTGCTGTACCCACCGGTATTCTTCAGCTGTTTGATCTTGTTCCGCTGGCTAGTAGTTTAAAACGTTTGTTCTTGTATTTAGTAACAATGTAATACCGCGTTTACAGGTGTGGTAATTTTAAAAAAAAAGTTTTCTTATTAAAGCGATATAGCGGTATATATATATATATATATGCAAGCAAATGTAAATGGATATAGATCCGACAGAATGAAGAAAAATTTGGAAAAAAACAAACAAAAATCCTTAAATGCAATTATGTTGTTTAAAATGAATGAAATGTCGACGTCTGACGTTTCGGTTTAATAAACCTTTTTCAAGACAATATTCATAAATATACACTTCATTTCAATTTGACAAAGACGATGGACATAAACAACAAGTCTTATCCAAAACAGATAACTGAAAATTAAAAAAGCTGATCATTTTAAAAATTTTCAGTTATCTGTTTTGGATAAGACTTGTTGTTTATGTCCATTTTGGTTATCAAAGCTTCAGAATGATCTGAGTTTGTCAGGAGTTAACGTAACTAAGAAAACGATTAGTAATGAACTACGCAGAGACAATATAAAGTCGCACTCCCTAAGAAAGACACCACTCCGTCTGAAACGGCATAGAGGTGCCAGGTTTTGATTTTCGACAGAGTATAAATATAAGGAAAATTCTTATTGGGAAAAAGTTCTTTGAACAGATGAGAGTAAATTTAAGTTGTTCGGTTGCAATTCCCCGAAACATGTATGGAGGAAAGACGGCGAAGCATACGCACCTAAGTACACTATACCAACTGTCAAATTTGGTGGGGGTAGTATCATGCTTTTCTATGCGAGGTGCTGGCAAACGAGTAATTATAGACGGTAGAATGAATGCAGAAAAATATCAACAATTCCTAAGCGAAAATTTATCGCTTTCTGTAGAGAATCTTAGGCTTCCTCCAGATTGGATCTTCCAGTAGGACAATGATCCCAATCATATTGGTAAGAGTACGAAGAATTGGCTTGCTAATAACAACGTTAACATCTTACAATGGCCCAGTTAGTCGCCGGATTTGAATCCAATAGAGAATTTATGGTGGTTTTTGAAAAATAAGATCCGTGATAGAGGTCCAACATACATAAAAAACCTGAAGATAATTACTCAGAAAGAATGGGACAAAATACCTATTAAAGAATGTGAATCATTAATTAAAGACTACAGGAAGAGATTGGTTGCTGTTGAACTTAATAAAGGCTTTGCTACAAAATATTAAATGGAGAAAACATGTTTTTGTTCTTCTGTACGATCATTTTTTAAACCCCTAAAAATTTAAATATTGCTATATTTTCTTAATCATGGAATATTATATAGTTTTATATGCATATATTTTTAGTATGCAATCTGATACAGTAGATATATTCCCGTTTTGTTAATTTAATATGTTAATTTTAATATGTTACAAATAAAAATATGGAATATTTTCATGTGTACGATTTTTTATTCAACCCCACTCTATATACAGTCTGCAAACAGGTCAACATTGGCATGTTAGGCACAGCGACCACGAGAGACAATTCCCTGGCGTTCTATCTACCAATTATAGTATCAAACAACCTCATGAATTTAAACTTCATTAAAGGAGGGATTTCTGCCCAAATAGACAATTATGGATGGATGTTACAGAGTAACGGCCCTGAAATCGTTGTTTTATAAGTGGAAATGTAAAAATGGAGTTTGAGCGTTAAAACAAATTAAACAAACAGAAAATTAAAACATGGTTTGTTTAGCAAATTCAGCGCGGGCTTCTGGATCACACGAACACTGAACCAGAAACTGGAAGAAAGAGATGAGATATTATGTTGATAACTTATAAAGTAAGATTCATGTATTTTCAATGGCAAATACCAGTATGAAATAAGTTTCGGCCATAACTCTCTAAGCCCTTCTCGATCACCAATGGTGTAAAATATGGTTTAGTTCTGGCACAGATTATCTTCACTAGAGTCCGAATAATGTATATCTCTATCTATAAAGGCAGGATGTGTGTGTGTGTATGTGTAACGAATGCAGGGTCGCAATATTTGACGGATTTGCACCAAAATTTGCATGCTCATGCTCCAAGTTAGCAGGAAGGCCAAGGCCAACTTTGCATTTCTCAACTCCCATCGATAGAGGAAATAATCGATTTTTCATGCTTCTACGACAGTTTTCATGTAGTTTGCGACCATTTTGTATAGGCCAGAGTGAGAGCCAATAGCTGGCTGCCACGAATAGGCAGAAAGATTCTTTTGGTCGTGTCAGTCAGCAGTTGGCTCACTGCTGACTGACACGAATCTTAACTAGCATGCTAGAATGCAAAAAAATCGATAGCTGCATTCGTCACAAGTGGGAAAAATTTAAATCTGCATGGCACTTTACTCCAATTGGCTCATTCGCTTGCTTGAAATTAACGTTGGTTCTGATTCCGCAGAACTGGGTTGGGTGTGAAAAAGTATTTGTTTTTAACATTCTTTTTTCATTCGGTTTTCAGTTACGAGTCCTTTTTTTTTTTAAAGCTGATCGTTTTGTGTTCATTTTGTTTAGTCCTTTTTTCGTAACAGATTTAATGTTTAGTACAGAGCTTAGAAAATATTCGCAGTGTGAGACAGGCAAGAAGTAAGGTATGTAGCAACATCAGCACGGCAAAGGGCACACCTTAAAGGCAAGGAAGGGCAAAAATATTTTAAGTCAAGTGATAGCGATTGCTGTATGAGTCGTACGATTTTTTAAGTAAGCACGGACAACGCCGGGCAATGCTGCTAGTAGTATAATAAAAATCTATTTGGAAAAATATCATAAAGCAATATACAGTAAAAGATGGCAATGGTATTTAATAAATAATTAGAACAACCCCCTTAAAATAAAAAGATAAGGTTCAACCTCTCAACCATAGACGTTTTATGGGGACAGCTATTATTATAAGTTATACAGTGTAACCCGGATATAAGAGACCCGAATATAAGAGAAACCCGGATATAAGAGAGATTTTCTCTGGTCCCAAATTAGAGCCTATGTTAATGTATATAAAATAGACCAAACCCGGATATAAGAGAAACCCGGATATAAGATACTTCTTCTCCGGTCCCGACAACTCTCTTATATCCAGGTTACACTGTAGTTAACTATGATTTTTTATGAGGCAAGTAGAGTTTTCAAATAATACGGCAAAACATATACATGTTAGAACCGAACTTAGCTTAAGCAAATGACCGGCAGTCCGAAATGTTTCTGTCGAGTGATGTTCTTCCTATCTCAGCTCAGAGACACAACACCTTTCCCGGCACATGAACTGTTCCAATCAGTTCTGTCACCGGCGTATGTCAAGATGACTGGCGTAGTAGGGATGTTCATGGAAAAGGTACCGGGAGCGTCAAGCACACAAGGCACATCTTGAGCTGCTGCTTGCTATATTTATCTTATTTGCTCTGTTCAGGTCATGGATTTATGTGTATGCACCTGCTCGGCGTTCCCGATGATCTCATCCCAAGATAACGTGACATTCTGTCATGCTTGCTCTAGTGAACGTGTGTGATAATCAGCGCGATAGTTTATCAAGTTGGTAGTTCCAAACATCAAATCTACTTGCTCGTTCTCATCTTTTTTACATTTTACGTATCGATAAAAAGAATACCCGCTCGGCCCGGTGGCTAGGATCAAAGTGTAGTATCTGCGCTTTGTGAGCTGCCGGGTCGGGTGTCTGTCGAACTCTCTGCTTGCAGAGGGGAACCCGGACGAAGCTCCGCCGAAGGGTGGGGTTTCGTTCGGGGAGGTTGACGGAACTAGCCCGCTTGGACGGGTTTAGATGGGTTTTATTTTTGGCTGGGCCTACGAGCTCAGACATACCCACATTAAAAAGGCCTTGTTCCACATTCAATTCCTGTGGGTGAATTGATAAATACCATCTTTTTTACGTTTTTACCAATTACCTGCGTACACGAGGTCATATTTTTACATAGCAATGTGTTATGAGAGCTACTCTGTCACGAGTCGACTGTAGACATTTGCCGGCTGCTGAGTGCAGCAACTGATAAAGTGTTGAACACTTTCAGCTGCTTTCCTACACTGCATGTTCTTTCAATTGACTACTTGATAGATTTTGGTATCAATTCCTTCCTTCCGTTTGCTTTTTCAAGGACTCGATTCTAAGACATTTCCATGAATGCGGAGCTGCCACTTCTTGGTTTTCTTCTGCAAATGTAGCAAGGTAGGTTTTTTCATTCCTTCTCCTCCTTTTTCTTCTTCTTGTTGCAGTAAGGTTCACCCTGTACAAGGTCCGAGATTGACTCGAGATAGAAGGTTACTTTAAGAAGCAGTTTATGCGGATATGAGTTGAAGATAACGGTTAACTCTAGACTTGTAAAGGTTAAGATTATAGTGATCGGAGGAAACACCCACATGAGATACGGTTCCACGCAGCAGTTTTTCACGTTTTCAGTTTTTCCACAGAGGCTGTGGAAATTACTTCTCACGCATGACGTACGGAGGGTGATTTGCTACAGTTTCAGTGGCATAGCTGAGCCTGTCTATGAAGGTTAAACCTGGAGGAACCAAGAAAAGTAGTTCGTCCGTGCACTTTTCGTCGAAATAGAGATAGAGTAGAAAGAGGCTTGCCACATCCCGCCTGTGAGGGAGAGTTTGAGGGTGGAAAATATTTAATTTTATTATTATTATTATTATTACATTCGTAACAAGATTGTCTAACTGAACGGTTTATTTGGGATGTTAAATTATATGATGCAAATATTCAGATTCCGGTAATTTCCAAGAGTCATTTTATTAAAGACCTCATGGTAGTGACGCAAATTGCTGAATTCCGAAAATGAAATCAAATAAAATCAAATATCGTCCTAAATTAGTTGGAACGTTTTATAGCTGATGCGTCGCCTTTTGCAGTAAATTCTTGATGTAGCAAAAATCATTGGCCCATTAAGAGAATCCACAAACTAACAGTCGAAGATTTTCATGAGCATAAACTCATCACAACAGGATATACCCCTAGTTTTATATGAACGTCCAAAAAGATAGAATTGAATAAAATAATTTCAAAGCGATTCTGCAACTTTTTCTAAGGGAATACTTTCTCACCTGTAGGATTATATTAATACTTTTCTAATATAGTTCAATACGGGCAGTTCTATCTATCTATCTATCTATCTATCTATCTATCTATCTATCTATCTATGTATCTTTTTTCAAATTTATCTTAATATATCTATACCTAAGTCCGTCAGTATTATAATTTAGAGCTGCAGGATACATATACGTTTGTATGTGTCTTTATATATTAATATTACGTGCGTACATATACATATTTGTACCATATAGAGGTATCAATATTCACACACACACACACACACACACACACACACATATATATATATATATATATATATATATAAGCCAGGATAAGCCAGGATATGTGTGTGTGTGTGTGTGTAACGAATGCACGGCCGCAACTTTCGACGGATTTGCACCAAAATTTACATGCACATGCTCCAAGTTAGCGGAAGGCCAAGACCGACTTTGCATTTCCCAACTCTCATCGATAGTGGAAATAATCAATTTTTCATGCTTCTACGGCAGTTTTCATGTAGTTCGCGGCCATTTTGTAGTGGCCAGATTGAGAGTCAATAGCTGGCTGCCACAAATAGGCAGGGAGATTCTATTCACCAGCGTGAGAGCCAACAGCTGACTGACACGAATGTTAACTAGCATGCTAGCATACAAAAAATATCGATAGCTGCATTCAAGTGAGAAAAATTCAAATCTGCATGGCACTTTACTCCATTTGGCTCATTCGCTTGCTCAAACTCAACGTTGATTCTGATTCCGCAGAACTGGGTTGGGTGTGAAAAAGTATTTATTGTTGACATTCTTTTTTCTTTCGTTTTTTCCAGTTATAAGTCCGTTTATAAATCTGATGGTTTGTGTTCATTTTGTTTAGTTCTATTTTCGTAACAGATTTAATGTTTAGTATAGAGCTTAGAAAAAATTCGCAGTGTTAGATAGGCAAGAAGTAAGGCATGTAGCAACATCAGCATGGCAAAGGGCACGCCTTTAAAGGCAAGGAAGGGCAAAAATATTTTAAGTCAAATGATAGCGATTGGTGTCGCATGATTTTTTAATCAAGCACGGGCAACGCATACATATATGCAGAGCTGCTTTATATACATCTATCTATCTATCTATCTATCTATCTATCTATCTATCTAATTCGTTCTCTTCGTTATCTCTCTCGATATCTCACTGTCTCTCTATATATATATATATATATATATATATATATATATATATAATCACAGTTCTGATCTATCTGTCTGTCTATCTATTATCAAATTAATCTGAATGTATTCATACTTATATCTATCGTTTATGTCTTCATCAGTATTAATATTTACAGTTGTAGACGACATGTTCGTGCGTGTGGGTGTGTCTTTACGTATTGGCATTACGTGCGTACCTATATATACTTATTTATATAATATAGTGATATCGATCTTTATACATATATATGTAAATGCAGATCTGCTTTGTCTATCTATCTATCTATCTATCTAATTCTCTGTTTCTATGTAGTTGTTATCAAATTAATATCATTAACATTTTACTTATGTTTATTGTTTTATATCTACGTAAACACTGATACTTTTTACTGTATTCTAAGTCTTTTTCAAACATGTACGTACACACGCGCACATTCACACACACACATATCCCTGTATGTGTATATGTATTATTACTACGTTCGTATTTCTATATATACTTATTTATATTGAAGACGGGGATATTTTTACATATATATATATAATTGCAGATGTGCTTATACACTTAAAGATATGAACCAATGTATCTCTTATCGTTTTGTTTCAATTTTTCTTTGCTTTTCAATTTACTCATATTCTAAGCACTTAAACGTCTTTCAACATATCGGTTGTCTCCCCTTGGCATTAGGAGCGCTTGTATGAAATGTTGTCGTCACGACTTCCCGGAAGCCTTCTGAGATCACTAGGAATTTCTTATATTTCTACTCGAAGACTTATTTCACGATGCATAATGACGAGAGGCAGACGTATAGATACAAAAATGGGAAGTGAGATTAAGATACTGACAAGAGAGGCAAATTTATATATACGTACATACACACACTCGCACACACACAAAAATATATATATATATATATATATATATATATATACATATATATATATATATATGAATTGTGATCAAATATAGATTAGAATTCGATAGAATGATAGGGTAAGGAACAAATAGTAAACGTTTATTAATTTAACACGTTTCGCTTTTATTTATTTAATCGTCATCAGAAATAAAATATGGAATAGAATAGAAAAATCTGGTAAATTTTATTATTGTGTATTCTGTTTTTTTATTGGTTAAGTAGACCTCATATGCATTTTTCTTGACTTGTAGCGTTCGTGTGTATAATTCTTGTGTGTTTGTGTACCATAATTCCAGTAGGTCTATGCGGTATTTGGTTGATAATATGTGCGTCTATTCCACAACCAACTTTTATAAAATCTATACTTAAAGAAACTAAGATGCGACTACAACCCGTGTAACCTAAATTCATTCACTGCCACACAATCACCCCTTAATGAAAATACAGACAGAATTGAAATAAGCTCTAGATACCCACACACCTAATCAGACATTATTAATCTGATAATCAATCATATAAACGTAGACCAACTAGAATTATGATATACAAACACAAAAGTCATTAAAAAATAAAGAAAGAATTGAAGGAAAATAGTCGAGGTGAAATGTATTTATCGTCTGCTTCAATGAATTGGAAAACTTGTCAATTTCAAATCTTTTCATTTGTACACTCTTACTTCTTTAAATAGTCGCTTAGATTTATATTTATGATTGTTATTTTCCTATTATAAATGTTCTCTTCTCGCCCTTCCTTAGTACGCACGATCGTTTCGCCTTGCCAATCCCTAATAAATAATGGACTGTTTCGTTTGGATATCGTGGAAGGAGGAGGAACGACAATACGCGGTTTCAGTGAAAGAAAGAAAGAAAGAAAGAAAGAAAGAAAGAAAGAAAGAAAGAAATGCGTGTTTAATGTCTCCTGTCAATAGCTCATAAATAATAGACTATTCCGCGTTATGATCGCGTGGAAAGATGAGGAAAGACACTACTTGTTTGCATTGAGAAAAGAAAAGAAAGAAAGGAATAAAGAAAGAACTAAAAGAAAGAAAGAAATTAAGAAAGAAAAAAGGATTGGAAGATAGAAGCGTTTATGTCTCCTGCCAATATTTAAAAAATAATGGAAAATTGTTTCGAGCGGATGAAATGAGGAAAAAAGACCATTCTTAATTTCAGTGAGAAAATGAAAGAAAGGAAAAAAGAAAGACAGAAAGAAGGAATGGAAGATAGAATGGTATCCTGTCAATACATCCTAAATAATAGACTATTCCGTTTTCATTGCGGGGAACAACAAAACGCGTATCAGGGACGATAATAGTTTTAAGGCAATTTCAATGAAATGGAAAAAGAAATGTCAATTTTAGACTATTTTCATTTGTACTCCCTTACTTCTTAAAATAACGACCATCAGTCATGTTTATGATAGTTATTGCAATATGACGTTAAAGTTGTTAAGCTCAAATATGTAACGATCCGTTATGGGAATATCCACGAGTATTTCATAGTCTTTGAACCCGCAATGAGATATTGTTAGACCAGAATATTCAGCAAATAAAATCCAGGGATTTTCACGGATAATGCTAGTTTTGTATTTTAGTATTGGCAAGATAAATATTTATCAACGCTAATTACATAAGCTAAACTTAACGCTTTCTATAAGAAATACGACAGTGTCCCAGACACACACACACATATACATATATATATATATATATATATATATATATATATATATATATATATATATATATAACCTCTTTTACACTATATTTATAATTTATAAAGTTTCCCCTGCTCTAAGATCACCTCTACGCACTTTCAATTAATTTTTCACATCCTTTTATCTATATATTTTAAAGCTATTTTTAAACCACTTTTTATTCCATTTTTGTAATTTTAAATTAATATTTTATTCGTCATATAACCCCAAAATAATACCATAATGTTTAATTTTATAAAACTTCTTCCTTTTAAGAAAAATGCCTTCCACCCTCCACTGACCTCTACCCCGTGCCTTTCGTCTGACTGGAATATTGAAATGGATAAATTCTGTACATATATATATATATATATGTGTGTGTGTGTGTGTGTGTGTGTGTGTGTGTGTGTGTGTGTGTGTGTGTGTGTGTGTGTGTGAGAGAGAGAGAGAGTGATATCTGAATCTAAAACCATGCCTCCTGATGGATTTCATATTTTCTTCGATTTCCGAACTGCGCAGACCGATAGGCGTAATAGCCCCCGTTTAATAAATAAAAACGGGAGGGTCTAATTAAAATAAGAACCGTCCACGAGGGTGTTTGAAATAATCCAGCAAACCAAATCCAATTTATTGCCAGTGAGGCAGATTCTTACCAATCGTGTAGGATGAAAAATAAAATCTATCAAAGTTCAGCAGAACACTTACTGAGTCAACGTTTGTTACTTATTCATATATATATATATATATATATATATATATATATATATATATATATATATATATATATATATGTACAAACGATATGAATGGGATAAAATATCGATCAAATATGGATTGTAATCCTCCAGAGTGACAAAATAAGGAAGAATGAGAAAAACACACACACACACACACACACACACACACACACACACACACACACACACATACATATATATATATATATATATATATATATATATGTATGTACTCTATGGAATGGGATAAAGAATAGACAAATATGGATTGTAATCCGCTAGAATGACAGAAAAGGGATAAAAAGTAAAATAATAATATATATATATATATATATATATATATATATATATATATATATATATTATAAAATGGAGAAAGTTCGACAATTATTTTAAGACATTTTTCATAAAAAGAATTTATAAACATAAAAAAATCTTTTATATATATATATATATATATATATATATATGATTTTCCGATTTCTTTTGGAAGTTGTAGGTCTGATAATTTGGATGGTGATTACAATTCCAATGTAATAAATAATAACCATGTAATATTAGTGGTTGAGCCTTTTATATTATATTCTTACTCTGTCCTGTACGTTGATTGGGTTCTACCTGGATTCTATCCTCTTGGGAAATTATACATATCTATATATATATATATATATATATATGTGTATATATATATATATATATATATATAGACACACACACACATATATATTGAACGCTAATATATATATATATATATATATATATATATATATATATATATATATAAACAAGTTTAAGAGAACCGATAAGGGCTGTTTATTTTTTTATTTTTTTTTGTATTTTTTCAATTTTCGCATAAGCTGTTAAGTATTGCACTTGAAGTTGTGGATAAACTGTTTGAAGTTCATATTTGCTATTTATATTAAAGAATTTTTGATTATCGCAGACATTATCAAGAAGCAATGTGGTTGCTGTGTATTAGTTAGAATTCCTTTGTCTGCATGCTGGTATTCTTTGGGAAACTGGACGCATGAAATGGCCTAGCGTGACGTCATGTGCAACGTCTATTGCGAACGAGATCGTACAAAATGAATGTGATCTACTTTTTTTTATATTTTTAATACGAATATGATATATGCGTACATTAAATATATCTCATGCACTTCAAGATACCATCTCCTGTGGTGAATGATATCTTATTTGATGTGTGCTATTTATTTTATATAATCCGTCCATTGGATGCTGTAGTGTATTTTGGTATTATCCACTAATATTTGTGCCATAATGGTAGTTATATTTTAGACGTTTATTGATGTGATGGTCGATTGCACTGAGTTTCGTCAGCTGACAGGTCAGTCAGCGAGTTAGTATGGTGCATGTGCCCCCATTGAAATATTTAATCTTATTTCTTTTTTATTATTCTTAGTTTTGTTGAGGCAATCTCTCAGTGGAACCAGAAAATTCATAGACTATATTATTTTTACATGGGAGGGATTTTTGAGATTCGATGCTGTTGATAACAATTAAATTAAATATTTTAAACCTGTTGTATTAGGTCATGAATTTTAGATGTTTTTTTGTTTTTTTAAGCATTACGCCCCGAGCAAGGCGTGAAGCCACTAAGATGCAGGGGGTTGCAGAAGATTTGGAGCAAGATCAAATAGGAGTGATAGAAGAAAGGATGAGGAGAGGAATAGTGGATAGATCAAGTTAACTGGAGATGTCGATTGACATTACATTTAAATAGTTTGAGATTATAGCTCTCAAGGAAACAGTAACTGGGAAGGGTGTTCCACAGGCGAGAGGTGCGAGGTATGAAGCTATTGGAGTAGAAGAGACGGCTACATTTAAAAGTTTCTACAGTGTAAGGGTGGGAGCGGGATGCCAGCCTCGTAGGGCGCTTGAATTCATGGAGTCTGGGAACTAGTGAAAGCAGCTCATCGGAGCAATTATCATGAAAGTATTTGTAGAAAAGACAGAGAGAGGCGACGGCGCGTCTGTGAGAGAGTGTAGACGAGACGTCAGATCAGGGCTAATTATATTACATATTAGTCCCTGGATCTTGTCAAGAACTCTGAGGTAAACAGAAGGTGCCCCAGACCATATATGGCAGCAATACTCCATGCAAAGGTGAATGGTTGTTTTGTATATTTGAAGTATCGATTCCGGGGAGAAAAATTTCCTGGCGCGGCACAGAGAGCCAACTTTCCTCGCGGTGGAAGAAGCAATTGACTCAATGTATTTGTTCCATCTCAGGTCAGCAGTCAACGTGAGACCGACCAGACGCAGGGAGTAGCTCTCAGGAAGTTGACTATCAGACATTTTAAGGGGGGGGCATGGAAGAATCTCCATGGTGGTTAATGGAGAGTAATTTAGTTCTTGAGGCGTTAAAGTTGACCAGCCAAATCTTGCCCCAGTTAACAACCGATTGGAGGTCCATTGCAAGACGCACGCCCAGGTTAGTTTTGTCGCCGACACTAGATTTGTTTTTGAGGCAGGAGTAAATTGTAGTTTCGTCCGCGTAGATGCCAACTTGGGAATCTATGACGTCAGGAAGGTCGTTGATGAAAATAAGGAATAGAGTGGGGCCAAGGATGGAGCCTTGGGGAACACCTGCGTTCGTGGGATAGGAACTGGAGGAGAATCCGTTGAGAACGACCTTCAATTCTCGGTTTGACAGGAATGATCTTGTCAAGAATTCTGAGGTAAACAGAAGGTGCCCCAGACCATATATGGCAGCAATACTCCATGCAAGGGCGAATGGTTGATGTTTGCTAATAACATTAAGTTATGTTCCAGTGAATTATCTTTCTTTCTTTCTTTTTTTTTTCCATCCGTTTTATAATGAGTGTGCATCTAGTTACGCTAAAATAAATTAATGCGAGATTTATTTCTGTTTGCATCAGGGAGGTTTTGATATTTTTTTTTTCTAAATTTCTTTAAGGCAATTTTTATTTACACTAATTTATATTATACGGACTATTGTCCTCATCATTGTCGCCATATTTATTACAACGTTTTTTTCGGGTGATTGGAATGTCGAACTGAACCCTTTATTTCGCTCACTGTGGTAGATTGATCTAGTTCCACGTTCCATGTCTAATGGATGTCAGATATCTCCTATTAATCCCCATCTCCAAGTTCTCCACCGCCTTAACCAGGTATTGAACTCACACACTTTGGGTCCGGCCACTGGATATAACTAACGCCTTTAGTCACTCTGCCATGTGTCCTTGTTGAATTTAATAAATTGCCTTTCTTTACGTTAGTATATGATACAGATATAGATGTTTAGAGAATCGGCTTAACTAACGCCTTTATCCACTGTGCCATGTGTCATTGAGGACATCTGTGTATGAATTTCTAGGTATTATAAGCCTAGTGTATTCAGCATTCATTTTTTTACCAGTGCTCATATTGCAAATATTGCGAAATAAAGGGTTCAGTTCGAGATCCCAACCGCCGGAAGAAGGCCGGTGCGTTCAATGGCTGAAACGTTGTAATAAATATGGCGACAAAGATGAGGACAATAGTCCGAATAATGTAAATAGTGTACATAATACCTCATCTCAGAAATATAGACAGATACTATTTTTATTTGTTCGTCGCCGACATACTTAGGGAAACTATTGTTGATTAGGTTTTGCTTATAGTTCCTAAGTTTCTTATAGAAAATTAGATTTCTTTCCTCCTGTAAATCATGTTTTTGAATACTATTTTTTTTATCTGTTTAGACATACACATACGTAGTTAAGTAAACACGATTTTCTGCTAGTGTCTTTAATTTTTTGTAAAGTGCGCTGGTTTAAACTATGGCTAATGGCATCGACGAATAAGTCTAGGAAAGATATTTTATTGTTAACTAGCAGTAGAGCCCGGCGTTGCCCGGGGATGTAACAGTAAGAGATAGATCAAGTATCAACTATCATAAAGACTGAAAAATAACATTGACAAAGATTATTGTTTAAGGTTGACGGACACGCATGTCTTAATTATTTTTTTTTGCTTTGTTTTTTTTTTAACGAATTGGTCAAACCCAAACTCAAACAAAAACATTGTTTTCAATCGTTATGACTCTACCGATTGAATAGAATTTTATTATAAACAATTGTCTTGTAAATGAAATTTTTAAAGCATTCTGAATGTAAAAATAAAGAAAAAAGTGTGCAAGACAATGAGAAACACTACTTGCCAAAAAAATTGAAGTTTTGTTGAAATCAGTTGAAAAATGTAGGAAATCCGATCCCATATATAAACGAACACACACAAGCACACACACAAACAACCTGGGTTTTATAATAAGTATAACTCGATATTAGTTGTCCACCTTTCATTTTCGCGATGCCTCTTAATCGTGTTTTCAAATTGATTTCGTGCAAAAACAATTGTGTTTTTCCAATTTTTGGCACTGTCAAAACCACCACATGGTAATTTTACGTAGTCCTGTGAAGTTTTGTTGAAATCGGTTGAAAAATGTAGGAAATCCGATCCAATATATAAACGTACAGACACACACACACACACACACACACACACACACGCACAACCTGGGTTTTATAATAAGTATGATGTTGAGTTCGAAAGTAAAGTCTAGGAGAGAGTTTTTTTCAGTATTTTTTATTTCTTCTATGCTGTTTGCTAATTAGATAGTGTCGTCGATATAGCTTAAGTATATGAGCGACACGCTTTATTTATCAGGGTTTTGGAGTCAGAACACAAAACCTCTGACTTCCCTATTTTTGGCACCTCTAAATACGACTTCTCTATTTTGGGCACCTTCGACTCTGACGTCTTTGGAACCTCTGGATCTTTGGAACCTCCGACTCCGACTTCTGAATTTTTAGAACTTCCAACTCCGATTTCTATATTTTTGGCACCTCTAACTTCGAATTCTCTATTTCTGACACCTCCGACTCCGACTTTTTTTAAAAATCTTTGGCACCTCTAAATGCAACAACTCTTTTGTGGGCACGTCCGCCTCCGACTTCCCTATTTTTGGCACCTCGGACACCGATTTCTCTATTTTGTGCACCTATAAAGGCGACAACTCTTTTGTGGGCACGTCCGCCTCCGACTTCCCTATTTTTTGCACCTCGGACACCGATTTCTCTATTTTGCGCACCCCTAAATGCGACAACACATTTGTGGGCACGTCCGGCTCTGACTTCCTTATTTTTGGCTCCTCCGACCCCGACTTCTCTATTTTTGGCACCTCAAACTTCCACTTCTCTATTTTTGGCACCACCGACTCTGATTTCACTATTTTTGGCACCTCCAAATCCGACTTCTCTATTTTTTGGAATCTAACTCGGACTTCTCTATTTTTGACACCTCCGGCTGGGACTTCTCTATTTTGAGCTCCACCAGTACCGACTTCTCTGTTTTTGGCGCCTCTAACTCTGAGTTCTCTATTTTGAGAACCTCCAGCACAGACTTCTCTATTTGGGGCACCTTTAACTGCGACCTCTATTTTGGGCACCTCCGTCTCCGACTTCTCTATTTTGGCACCTCTAACTTCGAAGTCTCTATTTTGGGCACCACCGACTTCTCTATTTTGGGCACCTCCGTCTCCGACTTCTCTATTTTGGCACCTCTAACTTCGAATTCTCTATTTTTGGCAACTCCGACTTATCTATTTTGGGCACCTCCGTCTCCGATTCTTCCATGTAATTAAGTGATTATAGCCTTCAAATCTCTTAAACCCAATGCATACGCTTCTAACTTGAGTAGACCTATATTTTTATGACTGGTTTATATCAAAGAATAAAGATATTCTGGCTTTGATATCATACCTATTCATTCTTCAATATTTTCTAACAGAATTAGAGACAAAATCCTTGAAAGCATATAGGAGAAATAATAAAAATAAAAATGCTTTAGTGTAAGACTTTTTGCAAATAAGAAATATGTAAAAAACAAAATTAAAACGAATTAATAATATTAAATATTAATAACGTAAGTTGAAATAGAATCTTCTACAGGATGTAAGTGACGTAACAAAAAAAAATTCTCTAATGTAAGATTTTTTTATATGTATAAATTTGCACCTACAAAAAAAGTACAAAATATAAAATGACATTAAAAAAAAGATGAGATGAATTTCTTTAAAGTAATAGCGAATATACAGTAGAAGTATTAAGAATAAGAATAAAAAATTCAATGATGTAAGACGTTTTACATAAAGGGTAAATTCAGCTGGAGAACAACTCCGCTTCCACTGACTTCTTAATTTCCACACCGACTCCAAAACTCCAACACAGTCCTTGTAATTATTGAAGACTTTTTTCTCCATATGACACGTAGAGAAATAAGACAGTTTCCCATCGTTACGCCATGAGTTTGTGTATAATTTTTTCAATAGTGGTCCTGAAGGATAGAAGTTTTCGTAGAATAATCTAACTTTAGGAGTGGTGGAAATAACTGTTTTTTCTATAAATTCAGTAGGAAAATGACTATAATTTCTTTTATTGAAGGATTAATGAATGATCTTTCAACAACCACAGAGTCAAGAGTGTCGTTATTTGGCTAGTTCGACTGGCATATACCGCATAATTAATGTTATATTTACTGGGTAAGTAAGTAAGTATCAGTTGATCTGAGTGTACAAATCATATACAGGAATTTAGATTTATGGGATTATGGGACGTAACGGAGTTTTAACTTTGAATGTTCTTACATTTTCCTAATAAGTATCCATAGTAATACTCTATCCAATTTTGTAGAGTTTTAGGGTCCGATCTCTGCGCTTTTAACCGTAATCTGTTATTAAACTGTATCTTGAGGAAGCTGGCGGTGTATGTTTGTTTAGTTGTGTGTGTCTGTTATACAAAAGGGGGTTTACGTCGGACTCAACGTACGTCGTGTCCTGGTTACGGCGCCATCTCCCATAATATTATACGCTGTCACGCGGCGCTATGTGTTTCTTCAGCGGTTGTACGCCATATTGGATTGTGGTACATTCGCTATATCTCGTTTGTGTCGTTACATGGGAACTTTTTGCCCTTTATTATGGCTCCCAAGCGTAAGGCAGACTCGTTGGTGCTTATGTAGGTGAGTTCCGATCTACGTCAAAAATCAGGTTAAAACGGATCTCCGATCTAAGTCGAGGGCCACCTGTATAGTATGATTGGGAATTTATAAGCCTCCAGTAAGTATCTTACCCGCTCCGCCTATATTCTATCTTTACAATAACTAAATCAGACAAAAACAGAGTATTACTGCCATACCTATATTGGATATTCCAAGTCTTCACTTGTTTTTCTTTATACAAAACATCCTCGGGTTACGTCGGATCCGACGTACGTCATTTCGTGGTTACGGCACCATCTCCCACAATATAATACGTCGTCAAGCGGAGCTATATGAGGAAGACGGCGTTGCTTCTTCACTGGCTGTACGCCATTATTGCATTGTGCTACATCCGCTATCATCGGTTTGTGTCGTTTTTTGGGATTCTTTTGCCCTTCATTATGGCTCCAAAGCGTTCCGACATACCTCGAAAATTAGGATATTTCTCACCGTAGGGACGAATCTCCGAAGTAAGTCGTGGACCCCTATATATACATACACGCACACACACACACACACACACACACATATATATATATATATATATATATATATATATATATATATATGTATATATATATATATATATATATATATATATATACATATATATATATATATATATACATAGAGAGAGAGAGAGAGAGAGAGAGAGAGAGAGAGAGAGATTGTGGACTCTGCCGTCGTATTCGAATTACAGAAATCATTCTTTACGCATGAAATCTTTCGAGGAATTTTGATAAACATTTTATCAATTATAAACACACGTCAAGACACTTTATTAGGTCGCTACCTTTTATGAAAGCCGTGATTAAAGAATGTAGGATATCTGCCTACTACCAAAACCGGTGTAAAAGAAATTCTTTCAAGCTAATAAAAAAACGTACCTAAATCAACAAACATGGACAAAAATGCCTCCGGGACGTGCGTGCACGAAGCCCGTACCGCACACACGCGCAAACGAATATACATTATCATCGAAATACGAAATAGACAGACTAGAATTAAGATACCTGTGCACAGAGTAATTGTACATTAACTGACAAGAGAAATGCGTGTGAGGTCTGCTTATCCAATGAAAAACAAACACCACAGTAAATTAAAAATAGAATTTGATTTTTTACTTTAATAAAATATCGGAACATATGTTTCCTATTTGTTATTTATCATATCATATCAATGACACACACATATTAGTATATATATATATATATATATATATATATATATATATATATATATTATATTTAATTATATATAATTGTGTGTGTATGTATGATGGAATGTGTGAACAAGTAAAGCTCTCACTGGCATCAACAATCGTTCTTCGAGTAAATTTTTCTTTACCTCTCACTATTTGCGAACAACGCCCTCAGCCAGGTTTAAAGCGATTTGACTCTTTTGGGTTGGGTGGAATCGTGAATGCGCGTTTATTGAGTAATATGAAAGCATAGAAAGGCATGACTTTAACATTAAGAGCTGTTGTCTATGATTTTAACGTCAGTAACGGCATTGAAATTATACAATCAGTTCTCCTTCTAAGTAAATTAGTTGTAGGCTATTTTAATCATATATATATATATATATATATATATATATATATATATATATATATATATATACGCACTCAGATTCAATGTTGAACATTCATTCATGCCTCACAGTAGATTGCTGGATTATTTTGTTTCCTCTCTGGTGATTCTAAAAATCATTTTGGCATACTTGATTAACATCATCAAATCTATCTATCTATCTATCTATCTATCTATCTATCTATCTATCTATCTATATATATATATATATATATATATATAATGCAATCTACTCAATATGTGTATATATGTCTAAGTATATACGTATCTATTTATTGCAGTCTGTTCATTATCTATCTCTCACCCACTCTGTCTCTCTTTTTTCTATCTCGCAATATATATATATATATATATATATATATATATATATATATATATATATATATATAGCGCATGACAGAGGAAGGATTGGTGAGAGATGATAATGAACAGACTGCAATAAATAGATACATACACACGTAGATGCATATACGCACATTGAGCCGATTGCAATGCATATATATATATATATATATATATATATATATATATATATATATATATATATATATATATATATATATATATTAGTGGTAAATATACATATACATATGCAAAATATATAAATGTATATACATGAATAAAAAATTCTAAGAGGATAGAATCCAGGTAGAACTCAATGTCCAGGACAGAGTAAGGATATAATAAAAAAGCTTTATTCATCAGACCTACAAATTAAAAAAAAAAAGAAAGATCTTTAACATTAGATCGTCTATGGTGTGTGTATGTCACCACAAAATGTATCTTTAATGTATTAGACATCCGACAACATGCATATTTCCCCCTTCCACTCACCTCTATCTAAAATAAAACCCTCTCTGTTAAGTTTTAATCTCCTACCTTCTCTCGTCTGGTACCCCTCTCTTTAACTCTAACATTCGTCCCACACTCTCATACTTACACTCACTCTAAATTCTATTTTTATTTCCGGAGTTGTTTTCTTTTTGAATTTGTAGGTCTGATGAATTGGATCATATTTACAATTCCAGTGGAATAAATTATGACCATGGAATATTAGTGTTTAAGCCTTTTATTATATATATATATATATATATATATATATATATATATATATATATATATATATATATATATATATTTATATATATATATAAAGAAAAGAGATGTGTATGTGTTTGTGAATGTGCGTGTTTGTGTGTCAATGTGTGTGTGTGTGTGTGTTTAAATAATATCTAATTGGGATGACGAATGTATCATCCGTTTTTCTTACATATTCATAAGTATACCATTCCTCCATGATGTGAATATTGCCGCCACATATAATTCGGCAATCCTGCTAGACATTTATTGATCCTCGATATAATCCAAATGAGAATCTGCATTGTCTCTGTTCCCGGCTGGCATCTCGGGTTCAGCCAGTTTCCCACCATTGAAACGTAGTTCACCAGTGCCGTTTCTATAAATACTTTCAATGTAGTTGATCTAAGGATCTTACATCTAGGGTGCGTAGATTCTATGAATTCAAACGCAATACTCGATTGGCAGCAAGGTAAAATGATGATCATTTTACGGTTTAGATGAAATAGATATAACCGTAAGTTCTATGTTAACGGTTTCTTCCCTCAGCTTGGCTGATGATAACCTTAACTGCACCATTTTGCACTCATCTTCACCTGAAATGAAATGGAATGATTATA